GATCAAATCATTCTCACCATATCTCAATATGTTATTTGGTTACATTTGATAAAAAAATCACAGACATCATGCAATTATATAACAGGTAATTACAGTCAGGAATTAGTAAGATATTCTTACGGTTACTATTCAATTTGTAATGAAATACTGTGGAATACTTTACTTTCGCTGGAATTAATTTTCGCTGAAAGGGCTTTTTGGGCATTTTGTATGGAATTTATTTTCACTGATTATTGATGAGTTTAATGTGAAATATAGGAAAAAAAGTATATTCGCTGGATTTTATTTTCACGGAATCATCCCTTCAGCGAAAATAAATTCCAAGCGAAAATAAAGTATTCTACAGTAATACTTTAACATGGCTTTGTATAAAAATGACCATTTTTGTATCTTTTTTGACATTTTTTGTCCAAACAAATATTTCATATTGGGAATAAAATTTAAATAGTTGATGACAAGTGTCAAAATCAATAATAATGTGACTCATTTGAAACAAAATATCAATTTTTTGCCCCTATTTATTAGCTGTATATGTCTAAAAACAACATGTATTTTAGGTCATTGGTTTGGTCACATAGTCACATATTCAGCTTTAACAAGTTTGTCAACTATTTTGTATTTCATTTAATATTTCTTGTGACATATTTTTCAAACAGATTATAAACAGATTTAATACATTTGTATTCACAACTGCAGACACAGTCATGAATACCATCATTATGCTGGAATTTTAATTTATTTACATGTTGACAGCAGTCTAAGGAGATGAAGAATGGTACACATATGAGCAAAATTGGGGTTCTTCATTGAAGTGAAAAAATAAACAAAACAGCTGTTTATTGCATTATATTCTTACGGCATGGAACACCGAGGGCGCTATTTACAAATATGATGTCATAGGTGATCAAATCAGTTGTTTTATTTTACCAACAACTTGACTCCTTGTAATCATTCATTTTTAGCTGCCATGCTATTTTTATAATTGTTACACCAGCCATACACCTTGTATTTGATACAGTTGCATGGGTCCCATGCATGAAAATTAAAATATTACAGCATACTGCATGCATGTCTGTGGCAGTAAGTGAGATTAGAACCCTGGAAATAGAAGCTATTAACATCCATGCATTACATTAACCCTTCCCATAACCTGTTAATCTTTTTAATGCATGCATATATCAGGAATGTATATGTATAGCCCATGGTGTTCACACTCGTATCTGTGGTACATAAGGAAGTAGTTCGATCACCTGCGCAAACAATAAATATCTTTCCAGCTACATGTATAGGTCGTGGAAACCTACATTCTATATTTATACATTAATTCAGGTGGAGACGCATCTACACACGTGTATACACAGTTTTAGCACCCAAAAAACAACATATAATAATTTTTCACATTTTCATGTACAGTGAAGGACACAAAGCCTTGCTTATAAACGTATTTATACTAATACTACTGTAAAACCTGTATTAGAAGCCGCGGTTTCTATAAAAATGGTACAATGCAACAGAGGAGATGCGGCTTCTATTGGAGCGTCCATACATTTCTCAATTTTTCAAAAAGAATGGGTGCGACTTTTATTAGGGATGCAGCTTCTAATACAAATTTTGTGGTAATATTAATAACAACTCCAGCTTTCCATTCTTCACTGTATTTTTACATGATTTAAATTCATAAGTCAGGCCATACACAGGAGCAAGACTACCCTGAAATCACAATTTTCAGCTGTAAACTTCAAATCGTTTATGGTATATGAAATTTAAGGCACGATGTAGTGATCAAAAAACCAACAAAAAACAACATGAAATGAACTGATCTATTATAATTATAATAACATTATAATGAAAGTACAAAAATTAAAAAGAAATTACCTTAATACCTTATCTTACCTTACCTAACACACATCATGCAATTGCATTAAATCTATTGAAAATTGGATTTCTGATTTTTTTTAACAATGTAAGGCTAAGTTGAAAAAGCATCATACTGATTGATTTTTACTATTTTGAGAACTAACATCTATTCGTATGGTAATAAGGCACCAAAAGGAATCGTTATCAACATGCTAGACAATCTCCATTAAGGGGTTTTATCAGTAATCTCAGTTTTTCCATTTCCAGTAATCCTTGGCTATTAACTCTTCTATTTGTCGTCCATTACTAGGACGGGCAACGCTAGTGTAGTGCAAATATACATTAGTGATGCATTATTACGTTATTCAACGAGTTCAATCTTTTTAATTAACGGTTGACGTCCGCCGCGATGCGCACTGTTTGAGACGGTTCCCATGCAATGCATTTATCACAGGCATTATAAGTTTACATTAAATTGAAATGTGCATGCATGTGATAGCAACTGTTCTTTAAATATTATAATAATAATAATAATATATGGTTTAATAATATGACATAGAACAGACATGAAAGAGGAATGAATCTCCAGACTGAAATGAGTAACAATTATAAACCCTGCATTAAAAATAAGTTCTAATAGTAAATTGCAAGACTATAATCACTGGAAATTGATAAATATCTAATTGAATAAATATACACAAGAATACCAAACCTACATGTATTCAGAAATGGTCTAGTCCATCCACTTATTTACTAAAACACCCCTATTTCAGAAATGATTTAGTCATCTGATTGACTATAGGTTCTATAAGCTGATAATAGGAAATGGTCTAGTCCATCCACTTATTTACTAAAACATCACTATTTCAGAAATGATTTAGTCATCTGAATTACCATAGGTTCTATAAGCTGATAATAGGAAATGGTCTAGTCCATCCACTTATTTACTAAAACACCCCTATTACAGAAATGGTTTAGTCATCTGAATTACCATAGGTTATATAAGCTGATAATAGGAAATGGTCTAGTCCATCCACTTATTTATTAAAACACCCCTATTACAGAAATGGTTTAGTCATCTGAATTACCATAGGTTCTATAAGCTGATAATAGGAAATGGTCTAGTTCATCCACTTATTTACTAAAACACCCCTGTTACAGAAATGATTTAGTCATCTGATTGACTATAGGTTCTATAAGCTGATAATAGGAAATGGTCTAGTCCATCTACTTATTTACTAAAAAACACCCATATTACAGAAATGGTTTAGTCATCTGATTGACTATAGGTTCTATAAGCTGATAATAGGAAATGGTCTAGTTCATCCACTTATTTACTAAAACACCCCTATTACAGAAATGGTTTAGTCATCTGATTGACTATAGGTTCTATAAGCTGATAATAGGAAATGGTCTAGTTCATCCACTTATTTACTAAAACACCCCTATTACAGAAATGATTTAGTCATCTGATTGACTATAGGTTCTATAAGCTGATAATAGGAAATGGTCTAGTTCATCCACTTATTTACTAAAACATCCCTATTTTAGAAATGGTTTAGTCATCTGATTGACTATAGGTTCTATAAGCTGATAATAGGAAATGGTCTAGTCCATCCACTAATTTACTAAAACACCCCTATTTCAGAAATGATTTAGTCATCTGATTGAGTATAGGTTCTATAAGCTGATAATAGGAAATGGTCTAGTCCATCCACTTATTTACTAAAACATCCCTATTTCAGAAATGATTTAGTCATCTGATTGACTATAGGTTCTATAAGCTGATAATAGGAAATGGTCTAGTCCATCCACTTATTTACTAAAACATCCCTATTTCAGAAATGGTTTATTCATCTGATTG